GCATCCTTAGCAAAGCCAGGCATTTGCTGTTTGGCATCTCTGCTGCTGCTTCCCCTCAACGACCTCCCTCGTGGTCAGGGTTCTGGAACCGTCTGTTTACCTCTGCAGCAAATGCCACTGTTTTAGCACAGGGCTAAGGGCAGCAGCCCAGCCATGATTTCCTACCTGGGCTGGCGTGGGGCATCTAGACCCCTGCAGGACCTCCAGCATCCTTATGTGCCTGGCTTGGGGTTTTCAGATGGCAGTTTTAAGAAGAAGGTGTGTAGCAGCGACCCCAGCCCCCGAGACTGGCAAGACCCTATGAGCGGCATGGATGTGAAGCTCAGCGACACCCCAGGGGCTTCCGAGGAAGCACCACAGACGGTACGCTGCTTCCTTAGACAGTCCTGAGCTGAATACCGAGTCAGCCCAAATTCTTTTAATTATCATTATCAAGTGTGAGCAGCCTGTGTTTTGGTCATCTAGTCTTTCTGTCTTGTGGCAAATAATGACAAGTGCCATTTGTCTCATGGTGAATAGTAATATCTCAGCTCAGGTTAATATGCAGGCATGTGAACCTCCATGTTTCTTCCTGCTGACCCTGGGAATGGCAGGAGGCTGGAGGAGGGGAGGGGCGCTCAGGACAGTAGCCATTGCCTCCTCAACAGGTGAGAAACAGCATGCAGGGACCATGAGCTTGCAGTGTGCTCACTCCCATGGATATCAAAGGCCTGCTGGCTGCTTCCTCCCCTTGGATTCAGGAGGCCCAAACCTGCCAAGTCAGGGTCAGAGCAGGGCCAGGTGGTGAGCTCGGAGTCTGAGTCCGGCTGCCCTCCCACCGCCTGGGGCCACCCTGCACCCTCATTTTTCAGGCACCAAAACTCACACAAGTCAGATGACCAGAAAGGGCCTGTCCCATGCTAAGGGAGTGTTTTGTCAATAAGTGGGTCTGACTCGAGTTGGATTGGCCCTTAGAAACTCTGCTTTGACACTTGTCTCCATGTCTCCACAGGGGGAGGTGTTGGGCCCTGAGTCTGGCCCCTGTCTGCCCACTGTCCTGGAGTCCGAGGTAGGCTCTGGGCCTGTCCATCTCCCCAGGGACTGACACGCATGCCCAGTAGGGCTTCAGGCAGAGATCCAGTGTATCTCTCTCTCCCCTCCCTCCTCCCCTCCCCGCAGCTTGTCCAGCGGATCCAGACGCTATCCCAGCTGCTCCTTAGCCTCCAGGTACAGGAAGGGGGGGACAGAGGATGGGGACGGGACAATCTGCACTGCCCTTTTCCTGATTGTGGTTGGGAGGGTGGGGGAAGGGTGCGCCCGCCCATCAGTCCCCTCCCCGCAGGTGGTCATAGCCCAGCAGGACAGCTATGTGGAGATGCAGAGGGCCACCATCCAGGAGCGTGAGAAGCAGTTACGGCTACAGTCGTCACGCGGGAACCTGCTGCTGGAGCAGGAGCGGCAGCGAAACTTCGAGAAGCAGCGGGAGGAGCTAGCAGGCGTGCAGAAGCTGCAGAGCCAGCTGCGACTGGAGCAGCAGCGCTGGGAGCGCGAGCGGGAGCGCCAGCGGCAGGAGCTGGACCTGGCCTCAGCCCGGCTGCAGCAGCGCCAGAGCGAGGCGGCGCAGCTGCAGGAGCGGCTGAGTCAGGAGCGCGCGGAGCTGGAGCAGCAGCGCCAGGCCTACCAGCATGACCTGGAGCGCCTGCGCGAGGCCCAGCGTGCTGTGGAACGCGATCGTGAACGTCTGGAGCTCCTGCGCCGGCTCAAGAAGCAGAATACGGCACCGGGTGCACTGCCGCCAGAGTCACCGTTGGAGGTGCGCCCGGGGAGTGCGGCCTGTGGGTGTGAGTGCATTGAGGAAGCGCGTGTGCAAGCGTGCTAGTGGTAGAGTGAATGTGCATATATACACGCATGCAAGTGTGAGTTGTGTGAGCACACACGAGTGTGTATATGAGGGTAACCGTGTGTGCACATGGGTGGGGTTGGGGGGGGGGGCTGCGAGCACAGTAGTGTATTTTGGGGATAGGCCATGAATGGCAGCTCTATAGGGCCCAGCACCGGGCCCTGCCTCCCAGCTAAGAGAAAGGCCCCCGGCCCAGGAGCTGGGTGGGTTGTGCTGAGGGAAGCAGTTCCTTGTGGGCCCCAGGGAGGGCTTCCAAGAGGAACCAGCACTAGTTATGTGTCCTCTGTCACTCTTTCAGGTCCAGCCCCCAAGCCACCCCGCCAGCTTTAACGGGGAGGGGCTAGAAGGGCCGGCAGCCCTGGCCAAAGGTCCAGGGCCCCGGGTGAGCATGTTGCTGTCTGGCACTGGACCTGAATACCCTGAGCGCCCTGAGGTGGCTCGACGGGACAGCACCCCAGCTGACAGCCGGCCGGCTAAGAGCGACGTGCCCATCCAGCTGCTCAGCACCACCAACCAGATCCAGAGACAGGCAGCTGTGCAACAGCAGATCCCCACCAAGCTGGCCGCCTCCACCAAGGGAGGCAAGGACAAGGGCAGCAAGAGCAGGGGCTCCCAGCGCAGTGAAAGCTCAGGTGAGCCCTGCGCTTGGGGGCAGGGCATGGGTGCGGCAGGACAGGCCTCGTCATTGGGAACGAGCGACCTCCGAGAGGCCGGTGATCTCTGGGAGGCGGGAGATCTCCGGTGCCTGTCCGGCCCCTTGACCTGGACTGGGAGATCCAGTTGTGGGCAATTGGTGACCCCAAAGTGGCTCCTGTGGGCATTCACAAACAGGACCCCAGGGTCATCCTTTGGTGGGGGCACCAGGAGGAAACTAGAAGATAGAGCTGGCAACGAGGCTGAGGCTGCCACCAGCCCTGCTGTGTGGAGGGCTTTCATCTCAAGAAGCAAAACTGACATGACAAACCCCAGGTCCTTTTCCCACCTTGGTTCTCAAACTGGAACTGGGGCAAGGGAGCATCTGGGCAATTCAGGAAGAAGGGGCTTTGGAGACCCTTGTAGAGGTGGTCACCAGAAGCAAGACGTCAGAGAACCCCAGTCACTTAGGGACAATAGGGACCGATGCTAATGTGCCCCACCCAACCCCCGCCTAATGCCAATCCAGGTGCAAAGGGCTCTCTACCCAGTGTCCTCCTTCCACAGAGTGGACACTGGGCCCCTTGCCCCAGGGCACCCTGCAGCATGTGGTCCCCCAGTAGAGAAAGCCCAGGGGCTCCCTTGGGTGCTGTGAGCCTGCAGGTGCCAGCAGGGGAGCCCTCCCAAGGACTTTTCTGGGGAGCATGACCTGTGTCCCAGGACCACTGGGTCCAGAGGTTAAATTACTCCAGGGTCCCTCTGGGGACATTTGGGGGCTGTTCTCCCAGTTTTTGCGTCACTGTATTTAGGGCTTACTGTCTGAGCGGGATCTGTCCCTGGGCACGAGCACTGTGGGAAGTGCTGAGGAATGGGGCAGGACCCTGGCCGACGTTAGGGATCCCCTGTGCCTGGAGCAAGGCCGAGCACCTCAGGCTGCGCCCTCTCCCCTCTTTCAGCTTCGCTCGACCTGAAGCAGCAGCTGATTCTCAACAAGTTTATGGGCAAGGACGAGAACACCTCTCGGAACCGCCGCTCACTGAGTCCCATCCAGCTCGGCAGCCATAGCTCCATGCCCCCACCAGGTGAGCCCAGCTGCCCGGGCAGTGGGGCCACCCACAGTGCCCGGTGGCTGCTGACACCCTGCACCCCTCTCTTCCAGACCCCTTCTGCCAGGCCCCGAGCCCAGCCCCAGCTGACATGTCTCCCGAGTGCTTCCCCCTCAAGGCCGGGGGTACACCCTTCCCACCCGTGTCACCTCACCCAGCACCACTCAACAAGGAAGAAGCCAGCAAAGAAGATGTCATCTTCTTCTAGGGGGGGTGTCTTGAGGTGCAGACCCGTCCCTGTCCTGCCCACCCTCTGTGCTCTCTGGGGAACCACCCAGCTGTCCCTTTTCCCTGCCCAGCAAACCACCACGGCTGACTGCCTGGCTGGGTTTGGGTTCGGGGTCAGCGTCGGGGCTCACCTGTCTCACACACACACACACACAGAAGTTCGACCAGCGCTAACCCAAGGAGCTGATTGAAATCGTAGCACCATTTGGGCAGGGAGAGATCCACTCCATGCCGTTTTCCCAAGGTAGAGACAAATGGCGGTGGTTCCACATGGAGCCTGATGGCAGGCCAGACCCGTCTGAGAAGGAGGTGCTGGCACCAGGCCGGGCTCCACAGCCACTAGGGGACGCTGGAGCTCTGGAGCCTGTCATTAGGGCACAGAAAGGCCGGTGGTGTCGGCTGTGTCTGTCTGCAGAATCAAAGATGTACGTGGTTCATGGTGAAACTCAAGGCCAGGGTGTGGGCTCATTCAAGGGAGGCACACAGCCTGCCTGGGGACAGAACAGCTGGAGAACATGGCCGATGGCTCTCCAGGTGGGTTCTGTAGGGTCAGAGCTGGTCTTGAAAGGGTCTAACTCATTTTAATTTGGCAGAGTTTTTAAAAACCTGCTGCTGTCAAACTCAGTGCTTTCCGAAGGCGCCTCACTGAGTGGGTGTGGCTCTCCCGGCACTGGGCTGGCCAGAGCGCTCAGCCGGGGCCAGAGCACACGGAGGTCCCAGCCCCCGGCGGAGGGTCCTCAGTCCCTGTGAGATGGGCCAGTTTCCCCGGGGAAGCCGTCCTGTGAAGATGCTAGTACAATGAGGAGCAGAGCAGTGGGGCTGCCAAGGTCCAGACTGCTGACGGTGAAACACTAGAGGGATCACACGTGGCCTGCAGACCTCAAATGGACAGATGGCCACCTCACAGGTGCCTCCTATCCAGTCAGCTGTTATAGCTGTCAACTTCCCCCTAGAGGAGAGCAAGGGCCACCAGTCCAGCTGCCTGGCTGTAAATGTTGTGGATGGTGTCACACGTCCAGGGGTAGCAATTGGGTCAGATCTGCATTCCAGCTCTAGCCAAACTCAAGCTTCGGTGCTGGGATGGGAAAAAGGGAACATTGCCACCTTTTCCTGCACCCGGCTCCCCCCACTGGGCCCAGAGCCCAGCACCTCCCAAAGCATTAGCAGGACTGGGTCCTAGGCTGCCCAGGAGTGGGGGCACTGCACTGTCAAGGCAACACAGCCAGTCAGTGACAAGGAACTGAAAGCAGCAGTTGAGAACCTCTGCAGAGCACAGTGAATGACTTGACGTTCCCAGACTCCTGCCAGCCCTCTGAGAGCCTCTCCCCCCGCCCCTTTGACTTTGCCTACTGGGCCTGCAGTGTCAGCGAGGAGCAAGGAGACGCGTCCCCGGTCCTGTGACACACACTAGAGCTCATCTGTGCCATGTCTAATCAGTGTTTTGTGTTTTGGTACTGAGATAAATCAGAGCACTTTAGAAAAGTTGACTTTACATCCCTGCCATGTTATGAAGAGAATATTCCTGGGCCCTCTGTGCTGGATGAGTCGAGGCCGTGCATCCCTGTCCACGGGCTCTGCTCTGACCCTGCAAGATGCCACAATTCCTCGGACGCTGAGTCCAAAGAAGTTCCTCTTGGCCATGTGGTGGGATCCAACACTTCGCCTTGCAGCCGAAGGTCTCGTGCCACGCAGCAAGGCAAGCCATTGGCACATCCTTTCTGGCCAGTACCCTGCCATCACTCCTCGGTACCAATTTTATTTGTAAAGTTAGTGGCCGAGCAAATGTTCTTATTCCTGTGGGATCTGTGCACATCTTCATAAATTGTGACCATGATCTTAGTCCGCCTGACAATAATTTTTACAATGATTGCAGCATTTCTTCATGCAGGATATTTCAGAACCACCTTAGAACTTAAGACCTGACTCTAGCAATAAAAGTGTCTTAAGATGAGCTGACAGGAGTGCCTGTTCTTTGGGGTTTTGTTGTAGGGTCATCTAGCCAAATGTCATTGCTGTAATGGTGGGAGCTCCCTGAGGGGGCCCACCTTACCAGGCAGGACCTCCCCTTCAGAGTCTGCTGCAGTAGGAACTTGGGGAGGCTTGGATATCAATCAGGTCCAGGGCCTACCTGACAACCAGGCTGTGACGTCCCACCCTTCACATGGGCCCAGGATACCATAGGAGCCCTCTCGACTGCTATCACCTCTTCTGCTGGGTGCAGGCATCAGGTCCATGGGAGAGTGGCACCACCACTTCTGCCCTGCGGTTGGAATGAGGGATGCGGCACACCTCCTAGGCAAGTGACATGGCCTCAGCTCCAGCTGGAACCAGCTGCCTGCACCCCAGGCCTGTCGTGAGTGACGTGATCAGCCGGGAGACCACACAGAGAAGCCTGGGTCCTTTGCCTCTGGGGAAGCCCCAGACGATGAAAATGTTTGGACATTCAAAGCTGGAGACAGGCCCCAGGAGAAGCAGCCCCCTAGTCGAAGTCAGCCTGCAGGGAATGCCAAGTCATGCTCTAGCTGGGTCCTCTCCAGTTTAGACCTGTCCCTGTAGTCCTGGATGTCAGCTCCCTGCTCCCTGAGTGAGCCACTTGCAGTAGATACGCTCCCTGCATCCTGCCGGCCCAGAAGGGCAGTGGGCAGGGGGTGTGGCCACACTGCAGGTGGGATTGTCTCCACTGCCTAGCAGTGGGCCTGGGCAGCTGCAGCCCCAGCACTGCCACAGGGCCAGCCCTGACTACCCGGGAGCTGCAGCCGGAGTGCTGGCACCTGGCTCTGCTCAGGCCCACAGGGATATCAGCCTTTTGGGATACCTGTGACCTGACGTGTCACATCCAAGTGTTCACAGGACTTCCCCACAGACACTGCTCTGCGTGCCTTACATTCATTCTGAGTTTCTAGATAGGCAGGCAGGTGCTGCTCTGACCCCCGCCCCAATTTCACTGGTGCCTCAGGCTCTGGGAAGGGGACCCCTTTTTGCAAGAGGGATGGGGAGACTGACCTAGCCTGGCCCCCCACCCCTAATCCAGAGGGCACTTCGGCCAAAGGCGGGGTTAGGTCTCTTCTGCACCCTGTGCTACTACTCCGAGCAGCCCTCCATCCCAGCTGTTCCCAGCCACCTAGTAATAGCTTTCCTGTAAAAGAACAAGCTGTGCTTGAAACCACATGACTTCAGGGGCTGCAAACACCTGATGTCCCAAGTACTTGGGGGACATAAGGCAGAGCCTGATTCCCTCGACTTTCCTGCTGGAACTCAGAAGTGGAGGGTCCGAGGACACATCACCTGCGACTGGCAGGCGTGGGCCGGCCACCATCTACCGAGGCCAGACACACGCAGCCTTAGTCATACTGAAAAGGCATCCCACCCCACCAGTCTCCATGAGGTGGAAGACAGGAACCTACGTGGCCCAGCCCTAGCTCAGGGCCCAGGAAATGTTCACACGGGCCTGGTCCGAGCTGTGGCTATGGCTGAGTGTCAGCTACTTCGGCCAAAACAAACACCCTGTGGTTTCCAGGAGAAGGAGGAGACGGCGTGGCCTGGTGGGAGGCAGCATCGGTGGCCAGGTGCCCGTGACTTTGGGATAGAGAACTGCCTTCCATGGCTGAAGGGGGCAGTGGGCTGTGCCAGCAGCCAGATGAGGTTCCAGGTGGGCTGGGAGGTACGGTGGCTCCATCCCACAAGAAACGTCCCAGGCACATGGGCTGCCGCATCCAGAGGTGGAACCTCCCTAAAATAAGATACGGGCGCCCCGCCCGGGAGAGGGGACATGGCAGTGAGTGGGCCTTTGGACGAGCCAGTGAATTTAGGAAAAAGGACCTACACCTGGGCCTGGCACCAGCACCATCTATTTAATTGATTGTCATCAGCTTTCTTAAGGCCCACTTGGCACAAACAATCATGGCCCCCCTGGATTTATGTGAATACAGGATGCAAGGGGACAAAGCAGGACTCAGCTAAGGCCTCTGCATGCGAGTCCTGGGACCTGGGTGGAAAGGCCCCTGGGGGACCGCACCCCACCCCACCGTGGGCTTGCTCCCCTGGCTGCTCCGCGAATTCTCTGCGCTGCATATCCCCACATCCAGCCTTGATTTGCTCAGTTAGAGACCCAGCCCTACCCGGGTGATTTCCGCTTTGTGGGAAGGGACCCTCCATCAGGGTTCCAGTGGTGTGCACGCGCCCTCAGGCCATGTCAGGGGGTGGTGGCATCGGCCCTGCCGCCAGCCCGGACTGCCTGGTACACACTGAGAAGGGAAGAGACGGTGCCCAGGAGGCCCACCAGCCACACGGGGAAGCGGCCAGCCCACAGGACACCAGGGGGCAGCCAGTGCACGGCATTGGCCAGGTCAGCCAGGTTGCTCAGGACAGTCAGCACCTCCGACTGGATCTGGGCCTCCACGGCCCTCCACTTGCTCCGGGGCAGCTGGCTGTGGGAGCAAAGAGGAGACGCTTGGGAAAGGGAAAGGAGTGACCACAGACCCTGATGGTGAGCTAGGAGGAGTCCCCATGACAGCCCCCAGAGGGAGCCCACGGCCTGAACAGGGCACGGACTGACATCCACACCTGTCCTCCCGACCTCCTGGAATCAGTCAGGGAGGTGGGCTGGGGGCTGGTCAGTGGGCAGGTTCCCAATTTTTCCCAGGATGAAACAGTGACAATGGCCCTCAGGAAACTGACTCCATCTCCTCTCATGCTCTCTGCTAAGAGCACAGCCGTGAAGGCTCAGCCCTGGAGTCCTGGCTCTGCTGTTTCCTGCCTCTGGGGCCTCAATAAGCCTCAGTTTCCCCATCTGTAAGAGTACCACCATCCACCTGGAGGCTGCTGTGAGGCCCTGTGACCTCGTGCCCATCCCACCCTAGCACGGGCCCTGCACAGGGGCAGGGCTGGTAACTGGTGGTGACTCTGAGCACCTCTCCAGCTGGGGAAACCCCCTGGGGGCCCCACCCGTGGCAGAGGAAGTTGGCCTTTCTCCTGGACAAAATCGCAGACGTACCTGGTGAAGGCCGCCGTGGGACTCCTCAGCTTCTTTCTCAGCTTCAGGACCATCCATAGGGACCTGCAACACCACAGAGGATGGCAGGGACACCCCACTGGAGGGGTGAGAGAAGCAGAGTGGGGGCAGTGCTTTGATCCCCAGCTCTGCCGCCTGCCTCCTCCTGCCGTTGCGGTCACAGGTTCCCTGTAATGCGTGCCGAGCTCCAACCAATGGAGCTGCCCAACAAGTGGCTCCAACCAATCTGTATGAGGTGAGTCTGACAACCCTCTGGGCCCCTGAGAGCCGGCGTCTGCAGGTGAGGAAGCGGCCAACAGGCGAGCAGCCTCTAGTGCTCCCCCTGGACTCTAGGGTCCTGTGGGGTGCCCACCCAGGCTGCCCTGCCTGGCCCCTGCACTCTGTAGCCTGGGCTGTGGGGTGGGCAGGTAGGTGAATGTGCTGAGTCCTGCCCAGACTTCCCGACTGGAAGGTCCAGGGTCTGATCACATCTCCCCAGCCCCCGTGTGCCCATCCAAGTGACATGTCCCCAGAGAGTACAGGACACAGCGAAGTACCTGCAGTGAGGTAAGTGGACCTGCAGCACAGCCACCTGGGCACTAGGGAAAATGATGATTCCTGGAGGCCACCAGAACCATGGAGTCAGATCCTCTGGGTGCCTGGCCCAGGCGTCTGCATTTCAATCTCCCGGGTGATTCTCTGGCACCCTGGGGCCTAAGGACACCTGGTCATGACCAGCACACACCACTTGCTCCCCGACCCCCACACCGTTGCTCACACCACATAGAGAAATGATGGGAAAACTACATGCTCTAAAAGTGAATGAAATAGTAGGCAGAGCTCAGAGGATTTTTAAGGCAACGAAAAGATTCTGTATGACAGTCCAGTGGTAGACACGTTTCATACATTTATCCAAAGCCACAGAATGTGCAACACAGAGTGACCCCTAATGTAGACCATGGACTTGGGATGATGATGACATGTCAATGTAGGTTCAACAGTAACAAAGGTACCACTCTGGTGCCATGTTGACATTGGGGGAAGCTGGAGGGGTGGGGAGGCAGGTGGGAAATCTCTTTACTTTCAGCTCAATTTTGCTGTGAACCTAAAACTGTTGTAAAATATAGTCTATTTTTTTAATATGAATGGAACCATGGCTGCCCCTAAAACAGGAATGGTAGGTCTCTTGAGACCAGAGGTCACAAGGCACTCTGAGCAAAGGCCATGAGCCAGGGCTCCCCTGAGAACTGCAGCCTCAGGACCATCCAGAGCCCAGCCCGGGCCCCTGCCAGAGACCCCGAGCACACAGGGAAGGTCAACACTGGGAGGAGACAAGGGTAGCTCCTGACACACTGACAAGCGACCATGACCATGAAGAGAGCTCAGATCAAGGAGGAGCTGCGTCCCTGAAACAAGATCAGAGGTGAGCAGAATGTGTTGGCGGAGTGTAAGATCAAAGGCTGGAAGAGTCACCAGAGTATAGAGTGGTGATCACCGGACTGTGGTGATTAGAATCTCCTGCTTCGGATTTGTTCCTTTTCCGGAATGTCTACAATAAGTGTATAATTAGGGCATCTGTAACAGGGCATGGGTATCTTGCTCAGGCACAAGTGACAGCAGATGTGGGCCTTGCCCACCCACACCCCACCCCCAAGGTCAGGGGCTACCCTTCACAGATCCGAAAGACCTTCACTTCCATGAAACTTGGCCAGGGGAGGCCCCACTCCGCCTGTGCTTTCTGGGGTAGGGGACACTGAACAAACCCGCTCAGCAAATTCTCAGAGAGGAAAATGTTTGGGAGAAAACCATTATTTTAAAGTTCCAGAAACCTTACGGTTTTCAGAAGCACGGAGCCAGTCAGGGAATTCCTGGCTGTTTATCTGGGGACATTTGCTGATGACAATGCAAGCAGGACTCAGGGACCCAGGTAAAGGCAGGCAGGCCTGCCACTTCTCTCCAGGCCACAGTTATTTCTTCTTCCTGGACCCAGTGGGCACAATCATGGCCCCCAAAGATGTCCACGTCCTTACATGGGACCCTTACATGGCAGAAAGGACTTTTCAGATGGCACTAAGTTAATGGTCTTCAGATGACAGATTATCTGGGGGGCCCAATATCATCACAAAGGTCCTCATAAGAGTGAGGTAGGAGGTCAGAGAGAACGGAAGCAGACGCTGGAGTGGTGCACTTCGAAGTTGGAGAAAAGGGCCACACGCCAAGGAAAACAGGAAGGAATTCTAGAAGCTGGAAAAGGCAAGGAACAGATTTTCCCCTGTAGCCTCCAGAAGGATCATGTCCCTGTCCACACCTTGACTTTGGCCCAGTGAGACCCATTTTGGACTTCCGACCTCCAGAACTATAAGATAATCAATTCATGTTGTTTAAAGCCACCAAGATGTGGTCATCTGTTACAGCAGCCATAGGGGATGGATATAGTGAGGAGTGACAAAATCCACACACTTCCAGCCTGTCTGCCAACCCACCCAGGTATCTCAGATGCCCTGCTGGTGGGCGGTGCATTGCTTACCTGGCAATCCCCAGGAGCAAGGACAGTCCCCAGAGGGCCGTGCTCAGAGACCACCACCAGGCAGAGTCCACATGGAGGACCTTGGCGTCAGCAGCCCAGGCAATGTGCTCACAGGGGTAGTACAGCTGGTCGGCCAGGTTGCTCAGGACAGATACACAGCGGACAAAGACGTCTTCCTCCTGCAGGACCAGGAGAGAGAGGGGGATGGGCCTGGGGTGGGACCTACCCACTTCCCATACTAGGGGCCCAGGCCATGCCAAAAAACACCCTTAAATTATTTAAGTTCCCAGATGATTCCCTCATAAGATGACTGGGGACGCCCTGCCTCACAGCCTTCCTGGCCACCACAGACTTCCAGGTCCTGCCCAGGGGTCTCCAGGCCAGCCACTCTTGCACAGGACCCTGAGAGGGGAGCAAGGCAGGCAGTCCCGCAGAGAAGCCTGACCAGGCAGAGTGGAGCCGGGTGGTAACACCAGGCTGTACTATGCTGCATAGCTTGGGTCACCATCCCCGCGAACAGGCAAACTGTGAGGTGCTTAGGGTAAGCTGCCACCTGCCTCATCTCACAGAGAGGGGCCTTAAACCATTGAACTGCAGAACCCTCGAGGGCTATCTGTTCTGCATGGTACCCATGCCCTGAAACCTGAGTTCTGAACCACACCGCCTGCACCCAGCCAGGCAGAGCCAATAGAGGCTGCAGGAGCCTGGTCCCTGGGGCTACATTCCCAGGCCCACCCCTCGATGTCACCGCCCCGTCATGGCCATGCCCCTGGAGGCCTACCAGCTGGCAGGGTTTCCCAGCCTTGTACATCACTTCCCTGCCTTTACCCTCCTCATCCTAGCTGCCTGCCATCCCTGTCTTCCCAGGACTGCACTCCTTACCCCCATCAATGCTTGGCGACGCTGTCCCCTCCTTCCTTCTGGCCAGCTGTGATCCTGCCTCAGTGGGGTTCTGAACCTCACTCCAACTCCCCAATCCTGCCTGAGACCTTCTGGTGCATTCTAGCACATTTCACCCCTACATGAGGACAGTCCTCCATACCTCCATTCTAATACGCTCATTTGCCCCCCCCCACCCCCACCCCATTTCCCGAGAAGCAGGGAGTTCCCAGCCTATGTGAGGAGACAGACACACTCACGGGGGCAGGGGAACCCAGACACACAAACATGGGACTAGCAAAAGGGGCTCTTGCTCTGACCAAGGGATATACGGGGTGCAGAGACCTCCCTACCCTTGCTTGAGGACTCAAGGGGGTCTTTGCGGAGATGTTTGGGGGAGGGGATCTTCCAGGGATGCATGGGAAGTATGCCCTAACCCAAGAAGAGGATAGGAAATGGGTGTCAAAACTGGAGGGAGGTCCAAGGAGACACTGAAGACGGGATGATCAGGCCATGGGCACTGAGGCACAATGGGAGAGCATCTGAGCATCAAGTAGAGACCCTGAGAGGACAGGGGGAATAGTCGGCCCATCCCCTGGAGAAATGTCCCCTGGGCAGACAAGTTCGACCCCGGGTGAGGAGCACAGACCTACTGGCACTCGTGTAGAATGATACAGTAGTGCTGTGACAGCAAAATGTTACAAATAATCTATATGTCCAGCAACAGAGGATCAGTTAAATAAATCCCTGTCCTGCTACATAGTAGAATGCTATGTGGCCATTAAGAAGGAAGGAACCTCTGTTTTGGACTTATAGGGAATGCCCCCCAAGCTGTACTACGTGAAAAAAGCAAGTGGCCAAAGAGTGTCAGTGACACACAACTATTTATGTAAATAACATGTATTTGCCTGTGTGGGTACAGATCTCAGGAAGGAAACACAAGAAGCTGACAACAGTAGCTGCCTCTGAGGAGGAAAACTAGGGACCGGGAAAAAGGAAGGAGAGAGACTTTTTATTAATTATATACTCCTTAGGAATGTGCGAACATATTAGCTATTTTTTTAAAATTGGGTTTTTTTTAGCTGAGCCATCATGCCACCTGTTGGCAGCTTAGCAGCAGCTCAGCTCAGGCCAGGAATCAAACTGGCAACCCTGTTGCTCAGAGCTCGCACTCTTGAGTGAGCTCTTAACCAACTGAGCCACTCAGCCCGCCCTTATTTTAATTTTTTTAATTAAAATAAGAACATCTGATCATCTCCAAAAAGAAAGTAAAATTGAAAAAAATTAACAACTCGTTTAGACAAGTCCATAAAACACCAGCTTCCTGGGGTCTGTCTGCACCCCCTCCCTAGAGCCTCACACACCCCATTACCTCTGCCCCCAGGCCATATTGCTTAGTGTACATAAACATAGCCAAGTCATCGAAGAGTCGAAGGATGGTCCTGCAGTGGCTGAGCTGGGAAGACAGCGCCAACAGGCGCATCCCCACTTCTGACCTGGCCGGATATTTTTCCACCAGGACCCCTCCGACCAGCTGGCAGCAGTACCCCAATGTTCGGATCTGTGAGAAAGCAGAAGCTGTCAGCATGGCCCAGCTCCTAGACTGAGCTGGCCAAAGGCCCCATGGGATAAGCAAATGGAAGAGTCTAAATCAACAAGATTTTAATAAAAGCTGCAAGTTTTAAAAAAAATGTGCAGGTGGGACAAATGGAAAAGCATGACATCATTGTCCAAAAGGCACTGAGGAGGCTCTAAGGGAGTACTGGCTCGTGTCACTGAGGGGCACAGCCCTGGGAGGTAGATGTGATGGGGACAAGAAAATGAAACCCCATTTCCCACCTCCTGGGTCCTCCGTTTTCCAGCAGGCAGGAGGACTAGGCAGAAATGTATATTTGCATCAACCTGGTTGGACCAAAGCCCATGGCTGGGCTGGGAAGTGGGGGGCGTGATCGGGCCTCATCCCAGCAGACAAAAGGATAATTTGCTTGAATTGTTTCAGTGAGAAGGAACCCACTCAGTGGGTGATTTGGGGCATTGTGAATTGGGTCAGCTTCACCACCCTTCTATCTTTATTTCAACTGCTTTTCAGAAATTGCTTTTTCCTGTTTTACATATTATTATTATATATATTATTTTTACTTGTAATTTCTGTTTAGCCCCTTTGTAATGGCAAAACGCTGCAATTTAAATGTCCAACTTGGGGGGTGGGTGTTAAAACCTGAATGCCCAATCATAGGGGATTTGGTTGGAACCTAATTGTCTCGCCACCTAATTGCCTGGAACAACCTAAATGCCTACCTGTATGAGACTGGTTGGGACTAACTGAGAATCTAATTCCTGGGGCCTGGATGGAACAACCTAAATGCCCAACCAGAGGGGATGTGGTCACAACCTAAATTTCCAACCACTAGGGGGAGCCCCACAACACCCGAAGTCCTCATACAAGATTGTTTGGGACAACCCAGTGACCAGCTTCAGTGGTCTGGTCAGATCCTCAATGTCCAAGCATGAGGATTTGGTTGATATTACAGTAATGGTCCAGCCACGGCGAATTAGCTGGAATAACTTAAATGTCCACCACTAGGAGACCGGGTTGGAGCCCAGCTTGGGCCTCTCCGATGGGGTATCCTGAGCGATCCCGCCCCCTCTCTGGCCTCAGTTTCCCGGTCTCTGAGCTTTGGCCCAACTCTGGGACCTCAGGCCGCGCTCCGCCCCAGCCTCACCAGGCGGTCCCGGCCCCTGTAAGACTCCAGCGCCGACGCCAAGCCGCTCAGTGCCGCCATGGCAACTCCGCCGTGACGTCACCGCACAGCGCCAGAAAGCGGGGCAGGGCGCTAGGCCACGCCCCGGTAAGGTTCTGCGCAGGCGCAGCTGTGACCTTTTGTGCCTGGTTCGGCCCATTGCTGCAGCGACAAACTGAGTTTTGTTGCTGTGAGTTCTTCACGTGTACTTTTTTGGGGGCTTGTGCTCCCAGGACAGGCCTGGGAGCTCGCTGCCTCTTGCCACACTGTGGCTTGTCTTTTCAAAGTTAACCAACCCTTTCACTCAAGAGTGTGAGCTCTGAGCAACAGGGTTGCCGGTCGGATTCCTGGCCCAAGCTGAGCGGCCACTAAGCAGCCAACAGGTGGCAGGATGGCTCAGCTTAAAAAAAAAAAAAATTAACCCACCCACAAAAAAATTTGCCAAGCAAAATCACCAACCTGTTAGCTTGGATTCAAGGAATTTTCTTTTTAATTTGTTTCACCCTTTCTGCATTGTCTGCTTGTTTATAGTGAGCATGTGTGACTGTTGTATTATCATACAAGGCATTTTTAGAAAGTTAAGGAAACAAAATTGTTCTGGAAGCATAGACAAGAATATGGTAACCGGGGTAGCTCCAGAGAGGGTAACTGGGCGGCTGGGGAGAGGAAATTAACATTTTACCTCTATATCACTTTGTAGCTTTTGAATTTTGTGCACTATGCATGTATTATCTCATCAAAAATTAACTTTCTTCAAAAAGTGAACACAACCTGTTTCCTTTTTAAAAAAAAAATCTGAGATAAAATTCACATAATATAAAATTTACCATTTTAGAATGTACTATTCAGAGGCATTTAGTACATTCGTGTTTTGTACAAACATCCCACCTTTCAAAACATTTTCATCACCTTCAAAGGAGCCCCTGTCCCTCTTTCAAGCAATCACTCTATTCCTTCCTCCCCCAGGCCCTGGCAACCACCATCTGCTTCCTGTCTCTATGTATTTGCCTGTTCTAGAAATTTCATATAAATGGAATCAAACTATATACGACCATTTGTGTCTGGCTTCTTTCACTGAGCATAATGCATGTTTTTGAGGTTCAACCACATTTTAGCTTTTATCAGTATTTAATTCTTTTCGTGACTGAATAATATCCCACTGTATGGATGGACCACATTTTGTTTATCTCTTCATTAGTTGATGGCCGTTGATGTTGTGTCCACCTTTTGACTATTGTGGATAAAGCTCTTATGAACACGAGTGTGCATATACTTGTTCTAGTCCCCGGTTTCAATTCCTCTCTATAGATACCTAGTGTCATTGCTGGGTCTATGGTAAATCAATGTTTGACTTCTTGAGGAACCACCAGACTATTTTCCACACTGGCTATACCATTTTACATTCCCACCAGCGATGCACAACATTCTCCACATTTTTGTCAACACTTTTATTTTTATTCTAAAAAAGTATTATTGGGCCGACCGAGTCGCTCAGTTGGTTAAGAGTTGGCTTAAGAGCGTGGGCTCTGAGCAACAGGGCCGTTTGTTTGATTCTCACATGAGTCAGTGATGCTGCGCCCGAGCTGAGCTGTCGCTGAGCTGCCAACAGATGGCAGGATAGCTCAGCTGCTGTAACAACAAGATTGCATGTTCAGTGGAGGGCTACACCCATCCACAACTAAGACTGAACTCGGCACCTTGAGCTGGGCTGCCACCCGGATGGCTCAGTGGATAGAATGTGCGCTCTTAACAACGATGCTGCTGGGTTCGACTCCCACATGGGACAGTGACTACGTCCACCTGCAACTAAGACTGAACTCGGCACCTTGAACTGAGCTACCACCCGAATGACTCAGTGGATAGAGCATGCGCTCTTAACAACAAGGCTGCTGGTTCGACTCCCCCATGGGATGGTGACTACGCCCACCTGCAACTAAGATTGAACACAGCACCTTAAGCTTAGAGACTACGAGCTGCTGCCCGGTAGCCAGATGGCGACTGGCGCCCTCCACAAGGAAGATTGAAGAACAACAACTTGGCTGGTCCCCTTCCCCAATTCCCCAACACTGTTCCTCTCTCCCAATTCCCCAATAAAAACCTTTAGAATAAAAATTGTTATTATAGCCATCCTACTTGGTGTGAAGTGATATGTTGCCATAGTTTTGTTTTGCATTTCCCTAATGACTAATGATGTGGACTGATTGCCTTTGGCAAAATATTTCCTCTTGATTTCAACTCCTATTACTCTTCCTGCCTGAGGTTGCAACACATCCTGCCTCAGGACCTTTGCATTTGCTGTCCCCTCTGCCTGGAATGCTCTCCCTCCAGATTCCTGCATGTCTCCCTCCCTCGCCTCCTCCTCATGTTTACTCAAACATCATCTGCTCATGGGAACTTCCCACCACAGCCCCCTGGGCACTTCCTACCCACATTTCCTGCTGTCTTATTTTTCTCCTTAGCTTGTAACACTATCAAATGAAATTGTATATTTTGCTGCTTCATCTAGTCGTCTCTCCTCAACAGAATGTAAACTCCACCAGGGCAAGAATGTTGATCTGTCTTGATCACAGCTATATCCCTTAGCCTGGCACAAAACAGGTTCTCAATAAGTGTCCTTGCCTGCAGGGCATTAATTATGAACACAAAATGGACTCTAATAATTTTGATAGCTATGTCAGTCACAAAGTGACAGTCATGCCAGAGCATCATATGAAAGGTGTACCCAGGGAACACCCTAACCAGATAACTCCAAACGCAGGGTGGAGTGTGACCATCTAGACCGTTTTATTGGACTGCAGATGGGTGCACTGCACCCAGTCTCAGGCATAAGATCAGAGCTCTCTCTCAGCCTTCAGCTGACAAGCAGGCAACCACACCTGCACTTGTCCCAGATGGGGCACCTGAAGCCTTGCCTCCTGTTTTACCAACTTGGCCTGACACCCTATACTATGCACCCCAGTGCCAAAGGGACTCTCACTGAACACTGGACTCTCATCCTTCTTGCGTAAGATTCTGTTCACCTTGCCTAACTCTATTGCTTACAAACCTGTGTGACCTTGTTGTGTGAGACCACTCTACCTCAACTATTGGAGACTATCCTTTGGCCGAAGTCTTGGTTAATGCCCGTGGTAAACTGAGTCAGTAGGAATGGATCCATGGCTTTATTCTAACTGTGGAAAATTGTGGAAAGATACAAACATGTGTGAGACTGCTACTCTGGTAGCCACATCCCGCTCACAACAAGGGCGCAGCTCCCTGTCCTAACTCTCTGCGCAGCTCCGTGCACACTGTCCTCCACTCCCACAACCTCCCTAGCCACCTCTTCACTGGCCTCTCCCCCATCTCGCCAATCTTGACCTGCCTCCTGCTCCCACCTGCCCATCCCACAAGCCCCCTCGTGCTCAACAAGTCTCAGACTGACCATAGCATTATTCCCCAAACATCTTGCTCTCCCATGTCCCCATCTCAAGGCTGACCTGCCAGTCACCCAGCCACCAAGCTATGGACCTTTCCCTCCACGCACACAATTTCCATGTCCCAATAGTCACCAAAATATCCCTTGAATCCATCCACTTCTTCCCAGCCCACAGCACCTCCATAGGGAGCCCCCATTCTCTCTCACCTGGACCCCAATCCCCTGTCACCCCCCAGGCCCGCCTTCCCCACAACATCCCAAGAGACTCTTTCACCCCCACATCCAATCCTGAGTGCAGATGCAGCTGTCAGTTTGTCAGTTGAGACCTGAGCAAGGAGCCATCAGAGAGCTCTGATCTTATGCTCAAGACTGGGTGTGGTGCACCCATCTGCAGTCCGATAAAACCGTCCAGATGGTCACACTCCACCTTACATCTGGAGTTATCTGGTTAGGGTGTTCCCTGGGCACACCGTTCATGTGATGCTCTGACATGACTGTCACTTTGTGACAGCCCTCTTCACTTAAGACTAGGATGCAGGGGTCTGTGTACTCCCAATGCCCCAGCTGGGGACACTGTTCCTGCAGCAGAAAAAATCCAAGTCAAGCCCTAGGTCTGCAGAGGAAGGGGGTCTCAGGCTGCAGAGCCTGCATGAGCAGCTGGATCCCTTCTCTTGAGCCTGTACTGTCCCTGACGGCCATATAATAATAGCACAATGCATTTCTCTGGGTGCCTACTGGGTGCCAGGCCCTGCTGTAGGCATCAAGGTGCAGCAGCAAGCCTCACAGGTGCTGCCCAGTCCTCCAAACGTCCTCTGAGCTTGACCTTTGAGAGATAGGAGCTAGCCTGGCATTCCCAGCTGGTCTTGGTGTTGCTACGAGCTAGCCTGGCAGTCACAGTGAGGCCATGGTGTTCTCCTGCTGGACATAAATAATTTCACATAACGCCACCATCAGACAAGGCCACTAGGCAACCATGATGGAACAAGACAAAACAAGCCCCCTGAACACATGCAAGACGTGAGCATTGTCCAAACCACAACAGCGACCAGAGATTCACTTTTCCTGGCTAATCTGAGTCACTGCTGCTCCTTTACCAATCACAGCTTTATTCTTGCTTCATTCCATAAATTGCTTGATAAAAGTCAAGATCCTCAATAATAGAGTTACCTCTCCTCCTTGCTTCCTGACAGCACCCAGGATGCTCATGGGACCTCCTTTTCTAGCAGGCAGGAGGACTAGGCTGAAACATATATTTGCCAGTCCATTTGGTGGGCTTGGGGCTAGGGAGCAGGTGATAGGACCTCAACTCAATAGACAAAACAACAATTTGCTTAAATTTAGTGAAAAGAGACCCACTAATTTAAAAAGTCCTAAAGATCTAATACTCAGGAGAGGGGTTACAGACAGAAAAATTGTATCGTAAACCTTAGACTTGCTCAGAGGCTAGATCTTACTTGTTCCCAAACTATCACGTTCTGCGTGACAAGGGCTGGGGTTTCGAGGAGGGGCGGCGATGGGTTAAGAAATCACAGGAGTCAAAAATAGAGTTTCTGCAGGCCAGGGGTCTTGTCTCTGCAGATGAGAGAGCAAGCCCTGATCCTGGCGGGTGAATAACTTTTATTTACAACTGTCACAAAGAAGTCAATTTAAATATCTATACCCAGTTAATTGATTCGATTAGACCGGCAGCTGCTTCACCGAAACTCATTGTGATCAAGCAAGAGTTGTGCTTTCACACATACAGATGATCCCCGGGATGGCCTCAGCATTCCGAGACACTCCCTTATGACTTCAAAGGATCAGTGCGCAGGAGCATTCCAGTCGGCAGCTGCAAGGTGACACCAAACTAGAATAAATGATAATTATGTGACACCTTAGCTAATGCTACAATGGCAATCATATTGCAATATAAATGTATCAGATCAATAGGTTGTAAATCTTAAACTTCCACAGTGTTGGATGTCAAGTATATCTGAATTAGAAAAAAAGAACTCAGGCCGGCTGAGTGGCGCATTGGTTAAGAGCTGGCTTGGGACGCCAGCTCTGAGCAGCAGGGTCGCAGTTCGGATCCCACATGAAGGCCAGTGACACTGCACTCTGCAGCTAAGATGGTGAACAACAGCTCGACCTGGAGCTAGGCTGCCGTGAGTCGCCGGCGACGATGTAGGCTACAGCCCCTGCTGCAGTGGGGTGCCATAAGCTGTGTGTGGCTGGCAGCCAGAGTGAGCGGCCGTCCAGAGGCCGGCGACCGATCTGCCTCACCCAGGAAGAGCGCAATGATGGTGCCAACTTGGGCCAGTGAAGCAACGTCCTCCACAACTAGACTGAAGAGCAAAAAGGACAGCAACTTGTTTGTTCCCCTTCCCTCGACTCCCCAGCACTGTTCCCATCCCCCAATTCCCCAATAAAATCTTTAAAAAAAAAAAAAAAAGAACTCATTCAGTAGGTTATTTCTGCATCATGAACTGAGGCAGGTTGACCACATTTATATATTTACGTCATCTGTTTCGGTTTTTGTTTGTTTTGTTTTTAAGAAATTGCTTTTTTCTTTTTAAAAAATATTTTTATTGTAGTAAAATATACATACCATAAAATTTACCATTTTAATCATCTCTAAGTGTCCAGTTCAGTGGTATTAAGTGATTTCACGTTGTTGTGCAGCCATCACCATCAACCAACTGCAGAACTTTTTCATCATCCCAAACTGGAACTCTGTCCCCATTAAACACTCACTCCCCATCTCCCTTTTTCTGTTGTATATATATTTTTGTCAAATCATCTCAGAACAGAAAGTCAAATTTCCAACAAGTAAAAGCATCAAGCGCAACACAAAGCCCGACTTCCTTAAACCTCCCCAGAAGTAACTAGGACAAGCCCAAGTCTGATAAGTCCCTTTTTCACACCCTCCTGAGATGCCCACAGTTCCCCACGAGTGTGCTCTCCCTCACTGCAACTAGTAATGAGCCCGAATTCATTCAACTACAGGTGTGTCCCTGGTGGCCTTGGGGCTGGAGGGGGTGAGCACTGACTCAGAGAGGTTGGTCCATCTTTCGTGGAGATGTAGGAAGCAGATGAGAAAGAAAACTTGGGTAAGTGGTACTAAGAGACACCAGCAGCCTACTGCATTAAATCCTCAGTGCTGCTTTCCGAAGTGGTTCCCAGCCCCATTTTCTAGATGACAAAACCAAGACTTCAATAAGTCAAGTCACTTGGCAGGCTCCCTGAGCTCTCAGGAGGTAGGATCCTGTGGCCTTGCTCCTGATTTTTCTCGCAACTGCCCCCAGGTTGCTGGGGTTCCATTGTGACAGCATTATCTGGGGAAGCACATTGGGTCACAATGGGCAGGGCTGCACAACCCTTGGAAGCAGCCTTGGAAGGAGCATGCTCTGGGAGACCTGGGACAGAGGGAGTCTTACGGGTCAGCCTCGCGCCAAGCATATTTTCTAAGATTTGTTAGCCCCCATGCCACCCCTCGAGGTAGGTACCCTATCTTCATCCCTGATGAGGAAACTGAATCTCATAGGAGCCCAGTTACTTATTCCAAGGTGACCCAGCTAGCAATTTCAGTTGTCAGATTCTCCCATAAACCATTTGACATCCTCTCTACTCTCAACTATTTTAGGTGGCAAATCTATGGAAAAAGTAACAAACTTTGACACTAAAAAACTGTGATTTTGTTAAAAAAAAAACAAACCCCCAAAAATTGATGCGTGTTTTCTGGAAGTAGACATGAGCAAGTAGTTGTGGGCTGAAGTGGTTTGGGAGGACTTCCTGCAGGAGGTGAGCCTGAGCCAAGGGTGCTGCTAGCACCTACAGGGCTGGTCTCCAAGGATAAGGGATGAGAGTAGAGCAGACACCTATGCTCTGAGGAAATGCAAGGAAGTCCTAGTTGACTAAACGGTGTGCTAGGATCCTGGAGCTAAGGTCAGAGAAGTAAGTGAGAGTCTGAGGACAGTCTGAGGACAGGGAGTGATCCAGGGCAATAGTTAGGGCACAGGACAATTGCAGAAGGCAGGAAGACCAAGGAGGAGAGGTATGGCAGAGATGGCCAGGGTTGGGCAGAGAGATGGAAGTAGCTTCCCAGACATAAAGGAGGGGAGAACCATGGCCTTAACAACTGAGAGTGAGGAGAGGAGGCTCCCATATCAGACAAACTGCAGAATGCAGAGGTTAATTCTGTGGCTCTACTGGTTGCTCACTGCGCCAGCCTCAGGGCTTCTGCTGTTGCTTCTGCCTGGAATGCTCTTCTCCCAGATACTCAAATGTCCCCTCCCACCCTTTTCAGGTCTTTGCTCAACTGTGGTCTCAGTGATGCCTTCCTTTTTTAAACTGCAATCCTCCATCCCTAAACCCTCATCCTTCTACTCTGTGTGACTTTTAGTTCCCACAGCACTTGGGATCTACTTTGCAATTTATGTATTTAGATTAGATTAGATTAAATGTCTGTCACCTCCCCACTCCATTATCAACTCCACAAGGGTCTGTTTCTTTAACTGATGTACCCTTCTCCGAGGGCCTAGGTCCCTACCCAGCACACAGTAAGTGCCAAATAATTGATTATTCATATCTTACTTTCCCTGGGGGCAGCACAGGGGCTGCGACTGTTTCTTACCATGTCCCCAGTCCCGAGCCCAATGCCTGGCACACAGTAAGGAGTAAAAGGCAGCATGGTCCTGGTGGGCACTTGCTCTGTCCGTGTCCCCAACCCCTCGCAGGCAGCGCCGAGTCCCGCGACGACCGCGGGCGCCCTCTTGCAGAGCCCGATGGCCCGGCTGGACTTCCTCAAGGCCTCGCACTTCGCGCTGGGGCCTGACCCGCGGCTGAACGTGGGCGCCACGGACTCCACGATGCACCGAGACTTCCAGGCCTACCCTGGCGTCCCTCGCACTCCGAGGTACCCGCCGCCGCCCCACGCGTCCCCTTTCCAGCTGGACGCGCGCTGGGCCAGCAAGGAACGCGAGTCAGAGACGCACTGCGCTTTCGCGCCACCGCCCACGCCATCGATCGAGCAGGAGATGGAGCGGGCGCGGGCGCGCACGCTCGCCATGCGGGCCAGCCACCTGCACGTGCACGCGGACGCACGCGGACGCGCCCTCCTCCCTACCACGCGCGCCCACTTTGATTGGCCTGAATCGCCGGCGCGCGCTTGCGAGCAGATCCGAGGCCCGCACCTCGTCTTTGACCGCGACTCGGTGCCGCCCGGGGACCCAGCCAAGCTGCGCATCCCGCCCACCACGCACCAGGCACTCTTCCCGCCCCACCGCGCGTGCCCGCAGCCCCGCGCGCCCTGCAGCCACCTCGGTGAGCGCGCACCCGGCGCACTGTGCAACTTGCTCAACCCAGAGGTTCTCAAGGCGGGCGGGAACTTTGCGCCCTCCCCCAAGGGACATTTGGCAAGGTCTTGTACGCTGCTGCTAGCGGGGAGTGGATGGAGGCCAGGGATGCTGTTAATTATCCTACCACTCACGGGACAGCCACCCACAATAATTATCCAGCCCCAAAGGGCAAAGTGCGGGGCTAAGAAACCCTGAAACCTCCTTGAGCTTCAGTTTTTACATCCATAGAAAGGGCGTATCCTGAATCTTTTTAGGGGGCTGTGCGGTGGGCAGAAGTCATGAGTGCTGGTTTAGGATCAGACACAACAGCTTAGTGCCCCACCCCACCCCAGCCCTGCTGCCTTAGTAAGTCCCCGACTTCCGATCGCGTTCATGTCTGGGAGAACGTGCATACATCGGTCGTTGGTAAGTCCGACAAAGTGAGTCTTATACACCTTTGACACAAATACACAATGTAAAGCATAAAAAAACGAAACACACAAAGACTGTAAATAAACTATTTTTACTTTTACAGTTACCTTAAAAAGGTAGTACAGTACAGAACAGTACAACAACTGGCATATAGGGGATTGCATGGAGTGAGCTGACAAGAAGAGAGTTACTAGCTGGAGGAGGGAGGGCAGGTGGGAGAGGGTGGGGCTGCTTTTCCTCTTGCTTCCGGACATCCTGGGCTCTGATTGAGCACTGTACTACTGTACACTGTCGCACTGTACAGTAAGCACACAGCAGCACAACTGTGACAATGTCCGGCAGACATGTGAGCTACTTCCACGATTTGTTCACATCTATGAATGTTTGTAATGCGAGATCTATTGGTATCTGTGAAAGTTCGCAACTTGAATGTTCGTAAGTCGGGAACTTACTGTGCTTGCATGACTGAGCAAGTTCACCTCTCCCAGTCTTAGTTTTCCTCATCTGCAAAATTAGTCAATAACAGGGCCCCACTTCACAGGAGCTAGTGAAGCAAAAGAGCTTAGAGGGCATAATGAACCATATAAAGAGCGCTCAGCAGAGTAGCTGTCATTCGTGTGATTTTTCCAATTCTATGACTCCAGGGGAACTGCTGGTGGACATCACTAATCAGAGTCCCTTCAAGCTGGGTTCACGGGTGTCAGACCTGGATTTGATTCAGTTCTGGTTCTGAATTTCTGTGGTTTCTAACCTCGCTGAGCCTCGCAGAGGCTGTAAAGTGTGTGGGGGGATAATACCAGCCCCCCAAATGAGGTGCAAAGCACTTAACCTGGATGCCTGGCTCAATTCTCAGTAGTTATTCTTGTTATCCTTATTGTTATTTTTGATGTTTGCCAGACAGCCCTCAGGCGAGGCTAGTCAGGGCTCCACCTCCCCTTCCCAAGCAACGAATCCAGCGGGCATGAAGCTCCGGGCACTCAATCCTGTTCTCTCTCTCTTCTTGCCTATCCTCAGGGGGCCCCAACCCCCTCAAGTGGGACCACAGGAGACCAGGTGATGGGACCTCCTACCAGAGACAGTTCCAGGCACTGTTGGGCCCACCTGCCATGATGTGTAAGAGGGTAAATCAAAGCTGGGCTGGTGCCGCTGGGGAGGGCACTGATGTGGGCTGAGTGGCCTTGCCCTTCCCACCACCCCTGTCCATTCACAGGACTCCTCCAGCGTGGCACTGGGAGACTTCAAGATTGGCTATGGGCCCATGTGTTCAGAGCAGAAACAAGGTTACAGTCTTCAGGGTTTGCCTCCAGACAGGTACAAAGGGACCATGGCCTTCCACCAAGATAGGCCAAAAGGCTCTCAGCGACATGCGTAGTGTGCCACCAAAGGCTCTAGGGCCAAAACTCTGCCTTTGAGCTCTCCATCACACTCAAGCAAGGCCCACTATTGTGCCAGATCTCCCATCATTAACATTTCATGGCTTGGCTGCTGGGAAACCTACCCCCCTCCCTTTTCCTGGGAGTTGCAAGGGCCCAGATCAGATGGATCCCGACCTTATATGCAGGTATGACAAGGCGCAGGCCTCCACTTACATCCACTATGTGAATATTCGTCCTGGAGACGGCCTCTTCCATGACAGGACTACCAAGGCTGAGCACTTCTGTGCCCAGGAGCCAGGTGAGAGCCTGCCGGCTACCCTGCCCCTTACTCCCACGTCAGCCTCCTAGAGCTGCTCAGCATCTACTCTGCCACTGGCAGAGCCTTTTTGCCTTCACCGTGACCAGACTCCGGAGTCACACATCTTGGAAGGAAATTGGTGCCCTGGCCCAGGCAGCCTCACCACCTCCATGAACGTCTTCTATGGCCAGGTCAGCAGGAATGGGGGAAGGAGGCAGGGCTCATCAGGGAAAAGAGCTTCCCAGGCAGAGTGAGTAGTATGTGCAAAGGCCCTGAGGTAGGAGTAAACTTGATATGTGTGTGGGGATCCCCTGGATCTATTTGCGTGATCTAGGGTAAGCCACTAGACAAGTGGCCCTGTCTGTAAAATAAGAGAATACCAACCCCCAGCTCCATCACGTGAGGCCCAAAGAGGGTGTGAGCTGTCCAAGGTCATGCAGCGCCCATCTCTTTCCTCCAATCGGGTCTTGGGACATCCCGGACAGGGGAGCTTCCCAAATGCCCTATGGTCCTACAGCAACCACCCCCGACCAAGCCAAGCAGCCGCCACGTGCCTCATGAGAAATTGCAGGGTCACGTGACCCTAGGGGAATCAAAGCTACTGGGACAGTTCTTCCAGACTTCCATGGGCACGGCCTATTGCCCCCCTGATGTGCAACAGTTCCATAAAGCCCCCAACCTTCATTTGCTGCCTAGCAACCTGTCGGAGGGCACAGGTGGTGAGTGCAGTCCTGTCACAGCTCTCGACCCGGCCCTGGTCTGTCTCGCTCCGCCCACTGCCCAACTCTGGCCCCGCCCTCTGGAGGGCTAGATCCCACCCCATGGACCAAGATCCCAATTCTGGCCCTGGAGAAACAGCTCCCTCCTGGTCATGACCCCCACTCCCCACCTCCGCCGTGGGACCCTGCATGACCGTAGCTGCACCCTTTTCCTCTGTCAGATTCTGGTTCCGCCCTGATTCTCTAGCTTACCCTACCTGGCCCCACCTCCAAAACACGTCTGCACCTGCCCGGCCCCTGGCCTCAGTCCCGCCCCGGCTCCTCCCTTCTCCCCGCCTCCTAATCCATCCTTGGCTTCAACTTCAGCACTGGCCCAGGCTTCGCCCTGAACCCTTACCCCATACTTCATTTCGCCATTCCCTGCCCTCTGGGGCCTGCCTCTCCTCCCTCAGCCCCTCAGCTCCGCCATCCCTCACCCAAATCTCCAGAACCAGATTTTCTAACCATGAACCAGAAGATGCTGAAACCACACAGAACAGCTCCAGCCTCCACGACTGAGGAGATGCTACAGCGGGTGAGGGAAAGGGAGGGGCACCTCCCTGACCAGGTAACCCCCAAATCAGTGTAGAGTTATCTCAGGATAACTCTATCTAAGATGTCACCTTAGATTCAGAATTTCTGTCAAGTCCTCTCAGGGTCATTCTAGAGTCACCCCAGGCTCAGAGTCATCTTAATGTCATTGCAGCCTCCTCAAGGTCATCCCAAACTCACCACCAGGGTCATGTCAAGGTTAGCTCAGGGGCATCTTCGTATTACCAGCCATGGTTATACCCCAAGCTGAGGGTTAGCTCAGAGTCGCCTGGGGTCACCCCAGCCCTGGGTCATTCCAGCCCCACACCCAGTTTCTCTCCGGCTTCTCATCCAGCTCTTGGGTCGGCCCAAACTGGGGCCACTTTTGTCTACCTCTACAGAGCCCATCATCAGGCTCTGATGCTCCAAGGGTGGTGCAGGGACCTTGGGGTGGCCCGGGTGGATTAGCCACTCTCCAGGCTGCCCTGCCAGGCTGCCCACCCTCACTCCACAGTGCAAGTATAGCCACATGGAGCCCCCGCTGGGGAGACAGCACTTCTCAACCCAACACAAGGACGAGTTTGCTTTCAAGTACCAGGGCCCAGCAGTGCTGAGATTGGGCAACTTCCAGGAGAGCCATGTGCCACTGGGCTCCCCTTACCAGTGGAGCTGCAGGGATGGGAAGGCAGAACCTCAGGCCTTCCAGACCCCTACTTACCTGTGACCTAATAAGCAATAAACACCACCTTGGCAACATCCCACCCCTCTCCATCAGTCAGCCATGAAAGAGTATGCTTGGAGGAATGAGGGCTGTAAAGGAGGTAATGACTCCATCAAGAAGACTCTGAACAGACACTTCTGTGGACCCTGGCAATTGCCCTACTCTGAGCAGGGAGGCCATGCCAGCTTGTGTAAAGTCTCGGTGGTCAGACTCAATACAAGGTGTTCAGGTGCTGTGACAAGTTCTGAATGACGTGGAAAGGATGGAGTGTTGAACAGAGGCAGTGTGGTGATGGGTTGAGAATGCAGGCTCCTGGGGCTAAATGGAGAGTGTCCAAATACTGACTCTTCCATGTCTTGGGCAAGTCATTTAAGCCCTCTGAGGCTCAGTTTGCTCATCTGGAAAGTGAATATAAATAGTAGGTCTCATTAGAATGTTATAAGTGAGAAATATACACATGGATCACTGTGTGTGGCTGGGGGTCAAAGAGGGAGAGAGCTTCCCTTCTGATGATGAATAGAGGACAGGAAGATGAGGATGTGGGAAGGAGATTTCAATGGTTGAGAGACTGGGTGGGACTCAGAGGGGGTATGGAGGCGAGGACACTCTGAGAATTGTCCAGCAATTTCCTCATTGTGTGCAGAGGCTGGGAGCTGAATGGTGCATTGAATGGCTGGGCAACTGGCCCCCAGGTCAGAACTGACAAAATCCATCAGGAAATAATGAGGTTCAAGGGGATAGATGTCCAGACAGCAACATGAAAAAGGTTGGAAGAAAGAGTGTAGAGTGGGGACCCTGAAGCCCATGGGTGACCCTGTTTAGCAAGCAAGTCAAGGACTAGCACCTTGGACAGCACCCCGTCTTGCTGGTTTGGGGTCTGGTGAGAACAACACTAAAAGGCTGGCTCCGTCTGGGATAAGATGGGTCTAATCTTATAGACCAGGGCCTTCCTCTGTAGGCTGTTGAGAATTGGCTTCAAATAATGACTATGACTCACTGACCCTGTAATCAGAGCTTCAGAGATCAAGGCCCCAGTCTCATGTGCCACTAAAAGCCAACCTCAAACCTGGCCAGGAGCCCTTTCCCCATGGGCAGCAATTCTGCGAAGCTAGGTTTTCATTTCCACAGAAAGAACAGGAGTCTAGCTTTGGGTCCTACAGGGACAAGATGGCCCTTTTGGCTATGCTCCTGGTATCCATGTTGACGATGAGAGGGTCTACTAGCTGCAGAACACCCCTTTTGCTTTTTACCACTAAAGATGTACATGACACTCTTCTAAACTACTTCATAATAAAGATTTCTCAGTATCAGTACTACTGACATTTTTTATAAAATCATTCTTTGTTGTTGGAGGCTGTGTGGTGCATTGTAGGATATTTAGCATCATCCCTGACCTATAACCATTACATGCCATTAGCACACTCCTTCTCTCCCACCCAGTTGTGACAATCAAAAATGTCCCTAGACATTGACAAATGTCCCCGGGGGGAGGGGGGAATTGCCCCTGGTTGAGAACCACTGCAGTAAACCCATGCTATAATGATTCCCAGGACAAAATCAGGCTCTCTTGATGAAGCTGGTCTGCTTGTTGGTCAGACTACTCAAAACAGCTTTTCCTTTTTGCCTTGCCTGCCAGGAAGTTCAGAAAGCTTGCTTTGGTGTTCAGCTCTATGTAGCTCCAGTTACAGAATCATTTGTGCTCCTGCCTGGTTCTGTTGTTGTTGTTGTTTAAGATTTTATTGGGGAATTGGGGAAGGGGAACAGTGTTGGGGAATTGGGGAAGGGGAACAGTGTTGGGGAATTGGGAAAGGGGAACAGCCAAGTTGTTGTCCTTCAATCTTAGTTGTGGATGACACAGCTAGCTCAGCTCCCAAGTCCAGCTGCCATCCGGCTGCCCGTCGGCCGCTCGTGGCCGCTCAGCTCAAGGTGTGTGTTCAATCTTTGTTGCGGGTAGGCGTAGCCCACCATCCCATGCGGGAGTCAAACCGGCAACCTTATTGTTAGGAGCATGTGCTCTCACCAGCTGAGCTGTTGGCAGCTCAGTGGAGGCTCAGCTCGGGAGCAGCTCACTGGCCACGTGGGAATCAAACCAGTGACCCTGTTGCTCAGAGCTCGCGCTCTTAACCAACTGAGCCACTCGGCTGGCCCTAGGAATGGTTTAAAGCAATCCAGAGAGCAGATGAGAAACAATGGATAGGACTTACAAGGAGGCAGGTTTCAGCAAAATTTGAAGCATTTTAACAATGAAACTGACCAGACCTGGGATGGGTTGCCAGGAAAGAAGAGAAACTTTACTGTAAATGTTTAATCAATACAGAAAGACACTACATCATAATTTTCCTGGCTTGTTTTTTTAGCTGAGCCATCCTGCCACACCTGTTGGCAGCTTAGCGGCAGCTCAGCTTAGGCCAGGAATCAAACCGGCGACCCTGTTGCTCAGAGCTCACACTCTTGAGCGAGCTCTTAACGAACTGAGCCACTCGGCCGGCCCCCATCATGATTTTTCTGGATGTACTTTATGGACTTACGTTGATCCCTCCTATATCCCACTCACCTAAAAAAAGCGGGGGGGGAGGATTTCCTGTTAAGTATAAAACCTAAAAGTCTTATGAAATAAGAGGAATAGAATAAGATTGAATGTGGGGAAACAGCTTAATTGTTAAAGGAAGACAACTTTGTCAATTGTAAGTATCACCGAGCAGCAGAATTCAGACCTGCCACTTACCTGTCCTTGGACAAGTGACTTCATGTTCTGACCCTCACTTTTCTCATTGGTAAAATGGGGGTGGCAATAGCTCTTCCTTCATAGAGTGGTTATAAGGATTAAATAAAGTGCACACAAACCATGCTCAGAACAAGACCTAACACTCGACTGCAGCTCAATGAAGGGTGTCTAAATTTTGTGAACGGCTTAAGTCATTTTTGTAGCAAATGACAAAAACCCAGCTCTATCTAGCTCAAGCAGAAAAGGATTTTATTGACTTAGAATCAAGAAAGTCTGGAGCTAGGTCTAATATCAGGCATGCTAGTTCAGTATCAGGTCTCCCTCTCTCCCTCTCTCCCTCCCTCCCTCCCCCTCCCTC